CCATCTCCCTGCTCACCCAGCCGCTCCAGCAAGGGGGCAGGAGAATGAGTCTCCCCACTTATCCGCAGAGTTGCTGTGTGAGTAGGGAAACAGGGTTGTGGCAGCCAGGCTACTGCCGTGATACACACCGTGCTATAACTGGACCAGCAGATTCTAGGGGTGGGAGGTAATCGGGCCCGCCACCTGTGCCAGTGGGCTTCATTTTCGTCTACAAATACAAGGCCCCCATCTCTATCCATGATAATAATAATAAATAATCATGCGCCATCAAGTCAATTCTGACTTATAACAACCCTTTTCATAATTTTACAGGTAGAAGATACTCACAAGTGGTTTACCATTTCCTTCTTCTGACTACACAGACTGGCTCTACTCACAGGAGGCACGGTGTGGAACCACACTCCCAATCTGTGGGTCTGCAGCCAGATAACTAAACCACTAAGCTATTCAGCCAGCCTACCCATGATTACACAAACATGATATTCATGATAGCACAATCATTTATTTATTTATTTATTTGATTTCTATCCCACCCATCTGGTCTGGACGACCACTCTGGGTCAATTAAAATGAAAAGAAGGGAAATGTAAAACCAATCAAATGATAGGATAATGAGATTTGTACACTGCGTGGCATTAGGAAGACAGTTTCTTGGGCATTTAAAACCTGATAATCAAATATCAAAATTGCTATTGTGAAGTCAGTACTACACACAAAAGAAAACAAGCACACAAAAAACTCATCAGATTTTGGCAATGTCCAAGGATGCATCTCTCTATTATTGTATGTTGTACAGAGTACATCAAGGACAACAGAAGACCATCTGAAAAGAACTGACAGCCATTTACTATTGGCCTGTATATTTTTGCTGTTGCCACTTTTAGTCCCAAAATGTGGTGTTAGCTATAACTCTGGATTGACCCAGCTGATTGCTGTTTACAAAGCATGGACACAGTCTGTGACAAGACAGTGTCACTCCCCTTACTCATCACCTCAGGCATTTCACTTCTTCAGCTAGTAATAAGAGGTAACTGTGCTAGACTGGGGTGTTTTTTTTTTCATTTGGAAGGAAGAGGAATCATTTTGTAAAATGCAAATATAAAACTGTCGTCTATGTGACAATGAGTATCATTTCTACTACTTTTTTATGCAGAAAGCAAAATATTTTGTAGAACAATGACCTCAATAAACATGTTGGCTAAGCTCTCCCATCCACAATACAGGCCAAGCCTTTTAAATAAAAACAGGAACATTCTGTGTAACCTCTTTGAAATATAATCAAACAGAAACAAGTGTGTCAGCCTAAATATGTGAATTGTTAAATTATAGATTCATATCACCCATATCATCATATATCAACAAATTTTCTCAAAAGTAAATCCCAGGGAGTCACTAGCACTTACTCCCTGAATATCCAGTCTGCAGAACTGGAGCAAAATGCATTCAACAGCACCAAAGTTATGGAAGGATGAAACTGTACTTGCATACTTAGAGGCCTAGTGCCTTCTAATGGCTGGGTTTTCTGCTAGAGGCATCTGCTTGGATTGGCCACTGTGAAAAGTAAGATGGTGGATGAAGCACTAATGGTTCCTAGCAGGAGCAAAGGAGGCATTTCACCCTTCATTTTGGGGTGAGTCACCTCCCCACATCTGAGGAGAGGCAAGGAGTGTGACTATTTACAAGCCCATGTAAAAGCAGGGACAACCATTTAGCTATTTGTTTCTTTTCTTTCTTTATTGACTTTATCTGATGATCTCATATTGAAACCCGGGTAGGTCGGACTCGTCCAGCCCTGGAAGGCAGCCCATCTAGGAGAAGGAAACCTCCGACTTCAAACCCCCACTGAGGTGCCGCCATCATCCTCCATGCCGTAAGGGAACAGGCCGGGTTGGTGGGACTCGTCAGGCCTGGAAGGTAGCCCATCTAGGAGAAGGAAAACTCCAACTTCAAACCTCCACTGCCTTGTGGCTATATCCACCAATGGAAAAGCCTTCGGGAGTTAACCTTGAGGCAAAATCCGGAGCCGGAGTCCCGGAGGCAGTTCGTGTCATTCTGTCAACTCCTGTGACGTCGCTGAAACCAGTTGTATTGGCTCTTGCCTTTCCATTTCAGTGACGTGGAGAGGGGGGATTTGCTGCTTGGGTAACGGCCTATCCTTCATATTATTTTACCCAGGCTTCATGCTCTAGAGAGGACACTTTCCAAGTCCTCCATACAGAGCATGTTACCATAGTCTCTCGAGACTGAAGGATGTCATTCCAAAAAAAATATTATTTATATGTCCCTATCAAAAGGTTCGTTAGGAGTCTTGGGGGGTCCCCAATTTGGCACGGAAATAGACGAAGGTGGCGTGTTTAAACCATAACAAATTTTATTCACCAATGGGGTGTCAACAATAACTTCCGTAGGGACAAACGGATACTCTTCAATCAACCGTCTATCAGTTTTGTCACTATTGCCATGAACAAAGTCCCATTTCAATATTGGGGTGCCAGTCCAAACCTCTCTCTGTCGCTGGGTCTCCTCAATGGGGTGCTCTTGAGTGCGCATATAGTGCCGCAGCACGGATGGCGGACCCAATCCCCCTCTGGGCATGGCTTGTTGTAGGTGGAATCTGGTTGCATCACCTTCTTCCAGGGACCACGTCCCCTCGGGTACACCACCACTATCCATTCCATGGTCTCCATGATGGTAATTCCTTCTTTTCTTTTCCTGGCAAACCACCAACTTTCAGGTTGGGAAAAGCTTTCAGTAAATCATTGCTATTCTCCTGCCCTTTTCTCTCCTTCTCTCCTTTCCCGGTCTCAATATGAAAATCACACGCTCCTGTACTCTCTTTTATGGCCTCCTCCCATATATCCAACCATTGCTCCTCCCCTTTCTCCTTGCCCTTTTCGTTCGTTCGTTCGTTTGTTTGATTTGTATCCCGACCGTGTGGTCTTCCGTTAGACGCACCTCTATCTTAACACTTTCCTGTTCTTTCTTTCTTACTGTCACCCCTTTCTCTTCCTTTCTCCCTTCAAAGTCCTTGCTTTCTGGAGGAGACAGCACACTCTGTTCTTCCTGTCCTTCACAGTCCCTTTTCTCTCCACAGAGGTGCCAAGGTAGCTCACAATTAAAACTATTCAATGCTAAGAGATTCAAAACACTAGACGCTGTTCCAAGTCCTCCATACAGTGCACGTTACCATAGTCTCTTGAGATTGAAGGATGCCTATGTCATGTCATATTGAAAATGAAAATAAATGTTATATAATCCAGTGCAGCAGAAGAATTAACATTAAGCATATTTTTCCCACTCTGTTTTGCATCTGACAAAGTGGGTTGTGTGTCAAAGAAAATTCACATTGTAAAAAAACTTCTTGTCTTAAACAAACCACACAACTCTATTATGCTGCAACAGATTGACATGGCTATCCTGCAGAACCCCTTTTTTGGTTTTATTTTTGCTTTTGCTATTCTCTGGAGGAAACGACTCTAGTTTTTTGCCTACTTTTTGTGGCCTTCCCCTTGAACTTAATCTTCAGGATTTGAACACTCAAAAGAAAGTATGAACATTCCCACAAAGGTCATTTATTGAGGCTCTAGGAAACTATACAGCCCAATAGCTAAACCAAGAGACTTCAGCTCAAGCAAGCTCTCAAGTCTTCGGATCCAAAGGAGCTCTACAGTTCTGGAGTTTGCTTCATAAAATGTGGAATAAACCCCACAAAGTCTCTTTATACACTCCCTGTAAACTGCCATCCCAGCCTACAGATTAGCAATAAATTCACATGCAGGCCTGCCTACCATCATGTAAGAAAGCAGGTGGAGGGCAAGACTATTCCTAAACCTTAGCTTTGTTGAGTGAAATAATTTTGCCATATTCAGTAATACTGATTCAGAAATTGCAGTTTCTCGCTGCCAAAGCTCAGTGAGTATCCCTAAATTGTGTCCAATGTCTCTGGATCCTTACTCAGTGTCTGGTTCTTTTTTAAACCCTATTTGTGTCTGGTGTCCAGGACATACATAAGAAGCACTTAAGCACATTTCATTTGCAGTTAATCAACAATAGATAATCTGAAAAGCACAAAATGTCAGCTCTAAACTAACACAGAATAATATTAAAAGATTATTTTAATGCTCTGAACCAGGTCTACTGATCATGAATGGATCAGACCAAGACTCCTCCCAATCCAGCCTTTTGTCTTCAACAGTGGTCTGCAAGGTGTCAATAGGAAATTCTTAAACACCATCACTTACTCTCTGTTCACAGCATCTGGCAATGGATACATACCCTCTGAAGGTGGAGCTTCCATTTACCTACTATGGCTAATAGCCAAATATTCTCATTGTGGCTATTGGCCATTACCCCAGTTCACAGCCATAATTTCTTAACAGGTAGCTGTGTTAGTTCACTGCAGTAAAACCAATAAATAATCATTAAAGATTAACATATATATTAGAGCAAGCACTTTCTGGATTATAGACCTGGTCATCCATAATGTGTCATATGACTCTTACACATCAGTGAATTCTGTAAGTAACGTAAATTGTGCATGAAAAATATAGGGGTTTTTGTATCCCCCCATTAGTGCCTCTAATGATCTATCTTTTTCTGAATGCTGTTATAATTCCCCAACATAAAAGAATCTGTTATGCCTAATATCTTTATAAAGTTAGATTACAATTATTAGTATAACTAATGGGTATGGAGCCAAGAAAAAAATACTCTTATCATGTGCTGGACTCAGGAATACTATCACTTTGATACCAATGACATATAATGCAGCATGTCAGAAACTGCGTACAACTGCTACTCTGGAAACAAACCTTTCTTTTTCTCTCCAGTTATCTACGTTACTGACAAAGAAGTAGATTTTTGGTTTCAGCACCTGCTCATTAGTGAGCTACTATCGATTTTAGAAGTTCTGTTTCTCACATTGCTTGAAGATGATATCCAAAATCAAACTTTTTACGCTCTATAATATTTTTATAGTTCACTGAGAGTGGAACACTTACTGGCTTTCGAGTTGGTGTGACTTGAACAGAATGGTAGAATTCCGGTTGTACTCTGCTGGCTTTTTTGATTTTTCTTTTTTTGACAGATGTTTCTTGTTCACTCAGCTGACGTGCTTCTACTAGGGGCTGTGTTTCTTCAAGGCGAGGGATTATACGTCTTCTAATATGGCGTGGACTTGGTCTAAAACCCTGTGAAAAGGAATGGAAAGGACTGATATAGTGTCTGATAATTCTTGTATTTTGGGTATAATAAAGATATTATATAAAGTTAGAACCAGTAGTCTTATGAGCTTCTAAATATTACTCAATGGTTAATATTTGTTTAAATTAAGCTTTTTTTTCTCCCTTCTGCATTACTTTTTCTCTGAGAAATCAGGGTAAGTGCTGAGTAGGAATGTCTGACTAAAAAAACAAAGATTTATTTCTCCTTGATGCATGTAAATAATCTGTTAATAAGGAAAAAAATTCATTGCTTGCATTCTAAAATAATTAGATAAGAATGAAAAAAAGAGATCGGTCAAGACATCTATAGCCACTCACCTCATTGCATCAGTGAGGGCCCCTCAGCTTCATGTGTCCACCCATGCATTTTATTGTCCCAACATGTGAATTACATTAGGCCCCAAAACTGGACAACCTTGGGTCTAATCTTACTCATATGCTGGGACAATAAAATGCAGGGATGAAGACATAGTACATATGTCATCCTGAGTTTCTTGAAAGGAAGGTGGGTTTAAAAAATACAATACATAAAAGCTATCCAGTGCAACAAAATACAGTATACTATATTTGCCTTATGCTGGGGACAATTCTGAACAAACATCAGGTTTCAATGGCACTTCAGTTATAGTTGGGCCCACAAGCAAAGTCTACATACTTAAGACTAAGAAAGTGCATGGATTTCAATTACTCATTTGTGAAAATACAATCTTGCCGTATTTCTGTTTTGTTTTTGAAATTATAGATTTATGGGCAATTCTGCTTCTTTTGTGGTCAAAACAGAAATAATAAAAAGTGGAGCTTCCTTCAGAAATCATTTTTCTTTATTTGTTCTTGCACAAGGTTTCTCAGCTCCTCAAGTTTCATACAGTCACTTGGGAGATAAGGACATGCTTCAGTTGCAAGCTGACAGCTTTGAAGCACTGGCCAAAATCCTTTTACAGCCACTGGCATCAGGCAACCAGTGTAAATAGCATGCAAATGAATTAAAGTAAACAAAGTTTCTAATGATGTTATGGGTAGTGGAAATGATGTTGTTCATATGAAAATGATGGTTGTCTTATATTTTGGAAATACGTTATAGTCCAATAGCACACAGTACCAGTGATTGTAATATTTTTAAGTTTACAAGAGTTTAGAATCCTAACCCATTATTACTATGATGTTTTATTCGTCTGGGGTCTTAGAAGTTCTAGGCCACTAGAGCTCTAAGCTATGCCAAACATTATTCATAACAATCCTGTTTATCATAATAATGGAATTTAGCCGAATATAAGTCTGCAGATCTCTGAAGTGACAAAGGGGTATAAAAGTAATGAGAAGTCATAATGAGGAAACATTCCTTGGAGCACCAGACTTCTGTAATTGGCAAGTTCTAGAAAACAGATTAGGGGAAATCAAAGCAGTTTAAACAGTTGTAAATATGTGTAGATGTACAGACATACACAAACAGAAAGGCAGGAGGGCATTCGTCACAGATCCATGCTTTTTTGGGCACCAGACATCAAGAACAACAATCATCATGAAATTTTCTCCATAGACAGTGTAATTGGTATGGTTGGGCAGTATGGAAAATGTATTATTTTGTGCATATATCTGATACTGTGCTTAGAGGCTAAAGAAGTTATTTTTAATATATTTTACTTTTAACATATTTGATAATTTTAGCATGCTTTAAGGCTAAATATTTATTAAAGTGATCGTGCTTTTACTTTTAATATTTTTAGAGATGTATTCGCTGTCCTTTGTTTTTAAATATGCTTCTTTTAGGCTATGAGTTCCTTTATTTTTACAAGATTTGATTTCAGCCTACAAATTAAGTTGTGTTTGAATGTCTACAGCTTCTCATAGTTGTAAGACTGTTTCGATGGAAATCACACCTCTAACTTTTCACAAGTTGCGAAGATGTATTTTTAAGTATATGTGCCTACAGGGTTTTTTTCACAGCTGGAAGATTTTTATATTTAACAACAACTCTGAAGTGATTTTGTGCATATGGAACATAGAAGCAATGTAGATAAATCAAGCTTATAGAATTAGACAAGCTAAAGTTGCCTGGAATTATTGCAACAATGAAAAGATTCAGATGAATATTGATATGACCACCTGTGATTGTTTAGTTTCATTCTGGGATTAACCCACAAGTGAGATAAATTACAGCTGTGACAAACAAAGGCTTCTGATTTTTTTCCTGGAGGTCTAAGAAATTTCTGTAGGACTCTTGGGTAAGGTCAAGTACAGTACAGTACCTAACTTCTGAATCTAACACCTGTGGCAAGGCAGCCAGGAAATCTGACACCCAGTGGCAAAAGCCTGCAAGTCACGAAGTTAGCATAGGCATTTGCTGATCAGCACCAAGTTTTGCAACTTGACATGCAACAGCAATTGTCCATACTAACTTCTCAACCTGCTATAATTTACCACCAAGGTTTACACCAATTCTGTTATGTTGGTATAAAAACAATGAAATTGCGCCCACTGTGTTCTTGGAGAGAAAATATTGTACAATGTTTTCATTCAGAACATTTAGATATAAACCTTATTTGTATTAGTAGTAGTATGTGATAATTGTTACTCAGCCACTACAAAAGCAATTTTTTTCTAATTCAAGAAAAACAATATGAAGTCCATTGAAATAATGAATAGGCCATATAATCCAGACAAGTTTAAAAGGTCTTTTAAATCACCTTGCTTTGAAACAAAAATACTTGTTTCAAAGTCTAGTTAAGTACTTTGAGGCTCATTGAAGCCAGTGAGGTAGTTAATAATGGCAGGAATGTGCTTTGGTAGAATTGTGGTTCTCATGCTCATTTTGAAATTCATTGGTCATGAAATAATTTTCAAAGACCAGAGAGTTAAGTAGTAAGAATACCTAGGCCTCATCAAAATCAATTTTGACAGATGTGCCACCCCTTCGAGGCGGGACAAAGGGTCAAGAATCGACCTAGGGCCCTCCTCCTGGGTGGGTGGGGCTTTAGGATGATGTAGGGGGTTGGTGAGGCCACTGTGGGCTTATAGGACAGATCGATAGAAGCAGGGGTCCCCCATGACCAGTGTGCAGCCTCAGGATTGGCCCCCCGAAGTGACGTGTCACCCCCACGGCCCTATAGGACAATGCGGAGAGGTTGGAGGGGTTTGGCTACAAAAGGGGTGGCTGTAGGGCTGAAACTCCACAGCGGTGGTCTTGGGGGCCTTCTGAGCGTGTTTGCTGCTCTTTGCAGAGACTGGTGCAGCTTGGAGAAGATGGAGGACAAGGAAAGCCAGCTCCCTAGTACCCAGGGGTCCCCAAAGGCGGAAAGCCAAAAGGACCTGGATGCCAAAACCCCAGCCAACTCCAGAAAGCAGTACATGAGTACAGATAATGAGAATATGCCACCTGCATCACTACAATGCCTGGAAGAACCTGAAAGATGGCATAATATGGAAGGACCCTTTTATATAGAGAAATCTTCTGAAGCACCGGTAGGTAATCATTTGTGGAAGGGTGGCACCAGAGGGTTGCTATATATGATTACTGTATATGTCTTTATTAAAACCCCTCTTTGATTTTTCAGAAACCATCTCATTTACAAGTAAGTGGAACTCCCCTGAAAAAAAGGCAAGGCCATGAGATCCATTGTAAGGGCAAGCCTTTATGGAATTCTGAAGCACTGTCTGACTGGCTATATGAAACAAGCGTGCATGGGATGCCGCCTAGAAATGTCTGGTCAACAGGGCCATGTCTGTCTGTCGTGGGATGCACACAGCCTTTCAAGAATGCTGCGAATGTTATGTGGAAAAATCTGTTTTAAGACTGCTTTTTATGTTCTTATATTGGTTGCTTACCAGCATCATATTGTCTACATCACTAGAAGAACTGTGGATTATATGTCTGAGGTTTTGAAAAATGTAACAAATTCTAATAATGCATATTATTTTTTTAAAAGGTACTGAGAAAATCAGATCAGAGTTTTCTAGAGCCTATGTTAACCAGGCTTAAAGGCTATCATTATAAAACATTTCTCTGTCAAGCATGTAAAGGAAAAGGTAAAGGTTCCCCTTGACAACTTTTGTCCGGTCATGTTCGACTATAGGGGGCGGTGCTCATCCCCGTTTCCAAGCCATAGAGCCAGTGTTTTGTCCGAAGACAATCTTCCGTGGTCACATGGCCAGTGCGACTTAGACTCGGAACGCTGTTACCTTCCCACCGAGGTGCTCCCTATTTATCTACTTGCATTTGCATGCTTTCGAACTGCTAGGTTGGCGGGAGCTGGGACAAGCGATAGGAGCTCACTCCATCGCGTGGATTCGATCTTACGACTGCTTGGTCTTCTGACCTTGCAGCACAGGCTTCTGCGGTTTAGCCCACAGCACCACCATATCCCAGTCAAGCATGTACAATTTGAATAAAAATAATACTTTTGAAAGGCAGCAATTCATGATATTTCATTACATCTAGTTCCACACTGCTGCCACATACAGCCTGGCCCTGTATTTATAAAAGGCTTCTGTATCCCCCCTTAAGCAGGCTTCAGCAGTTCCCAAAAGCTTTTCCTGCTTAAAATATAACAGCCTCAGAAAAAGGCCTATTGTAGTCATTAAAGATTTTGTAGTATATGTCAGTACTTGAAGCTCTGCATTTAATTTTGTTTTATTTATATGGCTCGATGCTGTAACAATAAAAGTCTGTGTGTGTACATTAAAGATTATAACACACACACCTCAGTTTTTATTCAGAAATATTCTTAGAAGTCCTGCTTTTGGGGAAATTTATTGGTTTTCAGGGGAGTTACCACCAGGCTGGGAGTGGGTATGGTTAGAGGATCCATGGACTGGGAAGGTGGAGAAACTAAGGATCCCTATGGAGGAGGCTGACGCCAGGAGAAGACAAGAAAGCAGCCCTAAACCATCTTATTGGGGAGAGAGGGAGACTAAAGAGTGGAGAAAGAAATTGAGAGAGGAGAACGAGAGAGTTGAAAGAGAACAAAGGG